GTGTTCAGCCAGGAGCCCAGAGGCCCTCTCATGAGACAAGACCCTGAACCTATGCTGTGGTCTGGCCTCTGGGTCTGGAGTTCCCCCTGTTCCCTGCCACCATTGTGGACTCTGGCTGAGGGACTGAGGCACCTGTCTAAGGTCACACAGCAAGGTAGTGGCAGACCAGGCTTGTGCACACCCTGCTGCCCCAAACAGAGCAGTGAGATGACAAGGATGTACGTGCAAGCCTTCAGCCCTCTACCAGCAGGTGCCTCAGGCTAAGAGGAGGCTGGGTCGGTGAAGTGGCAGGTCTTCCTACCAATGCATCTCAGCAACCACCCTGCCACATGCCCCGCAGACTTTGCTGCCTGTCAGCAAGGAGTGGTCTTCAGAACCCGGAGCACCTGTGTGGTGTGTAGGGACAGGAGCTCACAGCCCCTAAGGCTGTGGGCTTCCTCAGGGCTGAAACCACCCTTGACCCCTAGCCTCATACCAACCCTGCCACCAAACCTGAGCACAGGGCTGCCCTCCATGTTCTGAGATAATTTGGCAACTTTGCTGTCACACTTGCTGACCTCCAGCCTTCTGTGGCCCCTGGGGGTGGAATGGCCCAAGAACCCTAGGGCAAGGAATGGCGTGGGGAGGGCTAGGGTGGGCCTGTGTGTTGGCTGCAGACACAGTCCGCAGCTTCACAGCTTGTCCAGGTCCATCAGTGGGGAGATGTTGCAGACTCCGCAGGTCTGACCTGGGCCAAGGGTGGCTACTGTTTGATATCTAATTATATTCCAGAACAATCTTTATCTTTCCTAGTTTGGTGAAGGAGCTCAGAGTCAGAGAAGTTTAAATTATAGGAAGCTGGCTGGATTGTGGGGTAATCCCACTTACCTCCAATAAACTATTCAAGTGATTATGGTCAGGGTTGGAATTGAGGATACAGATTCAGAGCCTAGTAGCCCAGTCTGGAAGCATTTCAGGACCCAGGTGACTGTGAGTCCCCCACAGGCAGGCTTCTATGTTCTGGGGGTTAGGGGATGAGTAGTAGAGGATGAGGCTGTTATGCTAAGGAGACAATGAAGCATGTTGTGAGCAACTTTGCAGGCCAGGTGAGGGGCTTTACTTTGAAGTCAGGTAGCTCTTTACTGGCCTAGAAGAAGCTGGGGGTTTGGGGATGTCCTGGCCCTTGTGGGCCTGCCACCTGGACCAGGTCCCCCACTGTGCTCAGTCCTCTGTGAGGACCCAGTTCCCCTGAGCCATTCACCAGGGCTGACCCTTCTGTGCCACTCTGGTTGCTCAGGGTGGGGTAGGGTGGATTAAACTTAGAGTTCTCCAGAAGATATAGTAGAGACCAGAGGAGGGAAGACCTTGAATCTTGAGTCTTGGCCCTTGGGTCCAGGCGGATGGATGCTGACTGAAGCTGGAAGGAGGGTCTGGGGAGGGGACCTGGGCAAAGATCTGATTTGAGTTCTGAAGGACACAGAAAGGATAGAGGCCCTACTGTGTGACCACTGGTACTGGAGGTGAAGCACAGGATGATGAGTTGGGGTTCCCACTTGCCCTTCCGGGCTCCCCTCCTGAGAGACCTCTGGGCCCCCAGGTCAGGAGCCCTGATCACCCCAGTCTCCTGCCCCTTCCAGTGCATCAAGGGCCTCGGGGGATGACTCTGTCATGACTCTCACTCACCAGCGTTTCTGTACCCCAGCTTTATTGAAGCAGCCGGTGCTGATGCATCAGTTACAGAAATACTTTCTCAAGTACACCCCTACATCAGCCACCCTCAGCCTCATCTGCCCGCCCAGGGCCAGTGAACGGATGTAAATTGTTCCTGCCTCTCCTCCAACCCCATTTTCTGTAGCTCTCAACGCGTGCACCAGGCTCCCATGAAAGGACAGGGTCTCAGAGCCTGTCCTCAGTCCTTCTACATGACTTCCATACTCCTATATACATGACAACAGTCTTTAAGGCTTCCTTGAACTGTGAGAAATCAGTTGACACAATAGTGCAGTTCTTAGGTGATTCTGTTGGCTAAATAAGAAATATATGTTTAAGTCATCTCAAAGGAAAAAAATAAAAGCCAGCTCTGTTCTTCCAACCAGAAGGGCCACATGATAAGCCCCCCACCCCCTAGGAGGTAACTTAGCGGGCCCTCCCCATCCCTCTTAGGGAGGGCACTGGGGCCCGTTTGGTAATTGTGGAGTCCAGGGCCTTGGGGAAAGAGTCAGCAGGGTGTGACCAGGTCCCATTGCTGCACAGGACAGGGACACAAGGACGAGCAGGGGACTGTGCAAGCAGTGGATAGAGCGAGATTCTCAGTCATTTCCCCACAACACCCCCGCCAAACCACCGCACAACCGGGATTAGCACTGGGTGGCCCTTCCCTCTCCCCAGGCTGAGTCCCTGACCAGACCCATCTCAGACCTGATCCACAATGACCTCTGTATGTGGGGGCTTGGCAGAGTGCATGACAGAATGACTCCTGAGCCCCCACTCCCCTAAGCCCCTGTCAATGAGTGGGCTTCTTTGGGATTGGAAAGTAGTACCTGAGGCATCATATGTGGCAAGTGGGGGGCATAAGAAGCCCTTTGCCCTGCTGTGCCCCTGGCTGTGGTAGCAAGAAAAATGATGTCTCAGGTCCTAAGAGCAAACAACAACTTACTTGAAGCTTTGTGCAGATTCGCTTAAGTTTTTTCATGTTCTTATAAACCTTTTCTAGGTGATCATTCTTATGTTTCTCAGTGAGATTCTTCAGGGTGGAGATGAAGTTTGTTATAAACTCCCCATAGCAGGACTCCTGCAACAGGGTTAGTTAGGGGCACTGTGATTGTGGTGGTGCACTGCAGAGCACCCGCTGACCCCCAGCCTCATCCATCCTGGCCACCCGGCCAGATGGAGCCCTGCACTCAAATGCAGGCCCTGCCCTGATTCTCCCATAGGAGACCCAGGAGCACTGTGCGCTGTGCAGGGCATCTGGTCTCCCGCCCCCGGCCCAGGGCTGGTCTGAGACGGTGATCAGAGAGCCCGGCAAAGCCCACGACCTGGCCATAGCTTCATCTGTTGGCTGGGCTGGAGGCTCCATCCTCAGACTCTCAGCTTTCTCCCCGGCTTTGTCCCACCAACATCTTTTGTTTTTATCTTTGCCAAGGGGGGCGATCCCTTTGATAAGTGGTCAGAAAGGCTCCTGTGGTGACTGCTCCTTACCTTGCTGGTGTTCTGGGGACTTTTGAAGTAACCCTGGAAGCAGGAAAAGCTGGTCAGAAACACAGAGGGCCACTGAGAGCCAAGTGATGTTTGATGAAGACCCAGACTTACGTTGTATGTAGTGCTGTCAGCTGAAAGGTCGTGCTGAATCTCAGCACAGATTGCTGTGTGATTGTCATAGAGAGACGCGCTGGTTATCTTCATAGGCTTGGAATGGCTTCCCAAACCCCAGGGCATGAAAGCCAGGAGCACATAAAGGTACATGGTATGGCTTAAGAGTGGCTCCGAGCCGGTCCGCGCCATGGGCAGGGTAGCTTTTCTGTGGGGAGGGGTACCTATATATGTGTGTCTGAGGAAATGCTAAATCTCTTATCAGTCATCACCGATGTACGTGGAAGATAGAGAGGACCTTATCGCTGGGCAAGATGTGCTTTTCCTGCATTTTATATGACCACAGCACACTTCATGGATGCTTGTCTTTGTTGAAATTCAGGCTGGATCCAAGGAATTTTATTCAAATTCACATCTTGAGTCATGACTTTTCTGCCTGTGTGTGGGGCAGGACTTCAGCCAGGATTAGCGCTGTCTTCAGGTGCTGGCCAGAGCACAGAGAGCAGGTGGGTGGACAGAGAGAGCCAGCTGGGGCTGAAGCTGCATCAGGCAGCTTCCCCAGGCCCACCTGCCAGGGAGGAGGCTGGCTTGCTCCCACCAGACATCTGGGGACACATCCACTTTCTCATTGTCCCCAGGAGGGACACAGGACTTCAGGAGCAAGTCCTCCAGCTCTGCTGACAAAGCAAGGGAAGAGAACAGGGCTGCTATGTTCTCATCCTGAAGGCCATGAATTTTAGGAGAAATCACCTGATTGGATACAAAAGTTCATGTAAAAACAGAAACCAGCTTAGAAAAATGCCACACTAGAGCCATGTACCAACAAATTATGAACTTATGTTCTGACTCTCAAAGATTAAGATCACCCATTTTGGGGAATGTTAGGTAAATATGCTGAGCTCTGACCCCTGTGGTTTTTTTTTTCTTCCTAGAACAGCTAGACTATCTTCTGGTTCACCTTGGGAGTGGTTGAAGCCCTGAATGTGAGGGGCAGGGTGTGGCCTCTGAGGGCCACAGGGGGTCTGCCTGGCTCCAGAAGGTGCCTGTTCAGTCAGTGACCAGCCAGACCTAGTCAACCCTCAGTCCTGGAAGGATGATGCCCGTTCTCTGGGGCAAGTTTCCCACTGGCTGGGTCCCTTGGATTCCTAAGTGAACCTGGGGACCTCTCTCCAGGTTGGGAGCCCTTGAGCATCCTGAGAACCACACCCAGGTGTGCTGAACACTGCACCTAGGCCTGCTCTGCCCTCCCCTCCTCTCTGATAGCACTGCCCTCAGACAGTGCTGGACCTGCTGCAGGCCCCGCTCCTTCCCCCCCTTCCAGCTCCCTCCCCGGCCCTCCCTACCCTGTGCGGAGGGGAGCGCCACTAGCGTTCGCCCATGGTGAGACAAACTGCAAAATGACACAAATAAGAGCAGACTTTTAATAATTTATTATCATGGTAAAATATTTTGAATAAATATGAAATAGGAGCTTAAATAAATAAATAAATATTAAAATACATAAATACATAAATAAATATTAACGGTCTCTGACAGTGTAAAAGTCCCTACTCCCCTACCACACCATGGCTCAGAGCAAGTCCGTGGCCGCCAGGGCCTGGCCCTCCCCTTGGTCCCTCTGAGGTGAAGATCCTGAGGTTGGGCACTTCGTGGGTGGGAGGATGGCGGTCTATGAGGTAAGTTCTCAGGGCTGGCTCCTGGACAGGCCTGCCTCACTCCTGGGCTGGACTCCAGCAGTCAAAGGGGATGATAACTAGAAAATTATTCAGGTTCTCTTTGAAATTTTTGAACGTGGTAATCTGGGTTGCACAGGAAGTTTCCTTAAAGAAAAAGAAAAAACTTGAGTTCAGGTGTAAGTAGGTCATGCAGGGGAAACAGCAGTGTGTTTATGTGTCCCTTGGAACTCCAAGGTCAGAAGGCCTGTCTGGGGCCCCCTGCTAATGGTCAGGTGACGTATTGCCAACCTTGTGTCACCCAAAGGGTACACAGCTCTGCCTATGGCAGCTGGGGCCAGGGACCTGACAAATTGCCTGAGGTTGGTCTGCTGGGCAGTTGGGCCACAGGCTTTTTGGTCTCAGGCCAGGACAGAGCAGCTTCGCAAAGGCTGGCTCCAAAGGCCCAAAAGGGGCAGGAGTGAAGGCCACAGACACAGGAGAGGAGTGTTTGGGACTTTGTACATTCCAGGTATGCTCCCTCCTCGTCCCCATGCAATCCAGGAACCCCAGGAGGGGCCAGGGGAAAGTCCTGGGAGGTGGCACTGGGGCCCCAGAACTTCCTCCGTATCTTAGGTCAACCCTGAGTTTCTTTGGGTTTGCCTCACCTCTGACCTCATTAATGACAAGAACCAAGAACAGAGCAGCTCCCACTAGGGAGCGCTGTCAGTTCCAGAGCTCTTGGCTTTAACTCCTTGAGCCAGAAATGGGCTGGGCTGTTGCCTCTCTGGAGGGTCTGATCATTACAAATCTGTTAACACAGAATCCTACTGGTGTCTGGACCAGCCACACCCAAAGGTCTCTCCCTACCCAGTCCTCCACCCTCCTAGACCAAGGCCTTCCTGCCTGGGCCCTGACATGCTCACTCACCGGGGTAGGGGGGCAGTGCTGCCCGTAGTGGTCAGCCATCAAGGTCAAGGGGCCCTTGAGTATGGTGAGGTTGCCCCGAAGGCCCTGCTGGTACAGCTCCAGGCGGGTCTGCAGGCACGTCGGCTCCTGTGGGAAATGTCCACTCCTTGGTAAGCAATGGCCAAGAGCCCTCCCCATTACTTCTTCATGTTCTCACCCCTGGCCCCCATGAGTAGAGCCTGGGAGGACGCAGGATGATACGCAGCTCGTCCCAAGCAGATCCAGCCGTGCATACTGTCCTGTTCCCCTGCCCACTGCAGGCACAAATCTGACTCCCCCTCATTACTCAGCTCAAGCCACCCTCAGCCAGCACAGCTATGTTCCCTTGGCCTGGCCTCTCAAGAGGGTCCCAGAGCCTAGGAAAGGGGGTGACTATTCCCCCACCATTCAGGGAGAGGGGGCAGGGCATTGCCTGGATCCCATGCACCCCTCTGTAGCCATCACAACGAGGGCCCCAAGCCCACAGCCTCATGAACGAACTCCTGTTGACCCACCTGCCCCTGGTGACTCCTGGCCCCCTGAACACTACGTCTGTCCACGGCTGCTCAGGTAATAAAGAGGCTGATGTGACTGCTGCAGGGACAAGGCCAATGGCCTTCTGAGCACACCTCCTCTGGCAGCTAGCTAACTGGAGAGGAAGTGGACAGCCTTGTGCAGATCCAGCCTTGTGCGGGTCCGTCTAAAATGGGGCTACGCCCAGCCCCCCACAAAGGCAGGGGCCTCTGGGAAGGTGTGTCAGACAGAAGTATCTTACCTTGGGGTCAAACATTTCAGAGACGACTTCTACTGTTTCATTCTACGGAGAAGGAAAACGCAGTGTTATCAAGCTGGCAGGCGAGGCTAATCCAGTCCCTGGAATGGGCCAGGCAGGCGGCCCAGGCACAGTCCTCACTCCCTCCCTCCCTCACTTACCATCACGTCGGTAATGTCACTATTGTTAAGGAGGGTCAGGGCCTCCTTAATGGTGTCCACATGCACGAAGTGCCGGGTGACCGGTCTGGGTAGGCGGATTGGTGTGGAGATGCTGCAAACCACAGTGCCCAGGAGAAGCAGGTTCTGCAGCCACATCCTCCTGAGGACTTTAGCCTTTCTCTCTGAACACTGGGCTCACTGGCAAAAGAGCTCTTATATACACAGTTAGAGGAAATGATTAATAGTGACCACAAAACACCAGGGAGGTGGGGGAACTACCTGAACTGTGGAATCTCCTGGCCCTTATCAGCTACACATGGGAAAGGTGAGCCTTTCCACCAAGTGGTCACCATCGGGGGTTTTCATTAATGAGCCCTTCCAATAATCGGCAGCCCACCCGCCTTCCTCCTTGAGCTAGCCTTCCCCAGGCACTTGGACAGCCCGCTGCGGCTACCCCTCCCTCTGAGGAGCCTCTGGACACAGCTTGGACTTCCTGGCCTGGAGTGGCCAGAGCAGTATCTGGGAGACACAGGATTGAGCTCCTATTCCCAGGCCCCCCATTCTGCCTGTTATCCCAGGAGGCCTTTGGGCTGGCTCTGCCTGCCCTGGTGTCCATTCCAACTCTAGCCTTCCCTTTTCCCCATAGAGCCCTCTCCTCTGGCCACAGTGAGAGACTTGAGTGTAAGAAGGACTTCACTGTCCCGCTGTCCACCAGGCAGATTCCAGCCAAATGGCATAGGCCTGCAATAGCTCATCTCAGCTCTGAGACCCAAAGCAGTTGACAAGCTCTGCTGGGCCAGGGTTCTCTTCCCTACAGCCCCTGTGAGCAGAGGAAATGACAACCATGTGCCTGTCCAGCCAGCAAGATTGCTGAGTGCTCTCCATGGTGAGACCCCATCTGAAAGCCAGTCCCGGTTTACGCAGCCCATACCCAACCCTCACGCTACAACGGGCAGTTGGGGCTCTCAGCTAGGGTAGGACCCTGAGTATGAACCCTGGCTACAGCACCACCTGGCTGAGGGACTTCCCTCTGAGCTGTGTGAACCTCACCCCCCCTCTCCAGGGCCGAATGCCACCCTAAGAGGAGCAGCACGCTCCTACCTACCGGCCCTGTCCGATACCAGGAGCTTCCGGGGCTGGCTGTGGAGTTGTGGTTGCATCTGCACAGACACAGGGGACGGCGTCTTCTCTAATAAGGTCTCCCAGCTTAATTTCCTACATGGCCCCTGCCCAGCCCGCCTCTAGCTCTGGAGGCCTCTCTGTGGGACAGGAACTGCTTCTGGAAAAGCCACAGGCTCTTGAGGAGGTGACAAGTGTTTGATTTTCACAATGGAGTTTGGAGAGGAGAGCACGAGGTTAGTTTTTGTTTTTTTTTTTTCAATTAAAGTATAGTCAGCATATAATATTGTATTAGTTTCAGATGTCCAGCATAGTGATTTGACATTTTTATGCCCTGCAATGTGATCACCACACTAAGCCTAGTAACCCATCTGGCACCATACAAAATGATTACGATATTAGTGACTATATTCTCTACGCTGTGCATTCCATCCCCGTGACTGTTTTATAACTGGAAGTTTGTATGACTTATTCCCCTTCACCTTTTTCATCCATCTCCCCACCACCAGGACAACACACATTTGAGTTTGCTGCCAGTGCTGAACTCCATGGCCTCAGGAGTGTGGGCCTGCATGAGTACATTCCTGAGTGTGTGTCCACGTGCTTGGGTGTGTCTGTACATACAGGTGCATTGGGGGGGGTGTAGATTTTATATGAGGTCATATGTGTGAGCCTGCATGCCTCTGTAGGTGCCACTGCTATGGGAGAAGCTCTCCACACTGGGTGTGATGTTTCTGGGCCCCAGAGGCTGATTTGGCCTGGACTGATGGGGTCAGACACAAGCCGGGGCATTCTGCTGGGCTCCTCGGACAGCCCTCAACAACAGGTGGAGCTCATGGTCTGAGCACTGTGGCCCAGGCCTGCAGCCCTGGCAAGCTTCGCTGTGTGGAGGGCAGTTGCTGCCCTGTACCAGAAAGCCAGGCCTGAGTCCTCCCTTCCCCACTGAGGTTTCCACCAGGTTCTGGGGCCCAACATGAGGCCGGCCCTGCCCATCTGAGCCTGGAGGACATTCCTGAAGGCCAGGTGAGGGTGAGAGTATGACATGCCCAGGCCCTGGCCCTCCCTCCTGTGAGGCCTCTACTCAGTCCCTGCCAGGGAGCTCTCAAGGGGCACAAGGGGAGTCAAGGACACTAGGTGCCATGCAGAAGGGAGGTCTGTGTTGGTCAGTGCCCTGGATGCTGGGTGGTAGGGAGGCCACGGTCTGTGACTGAGCTAGTGGCCAGGGAGGTAGAAAGCTGGTGTGGTCCCTCTAAGATGGAAGGTCACTTTTTCCAGGAAATGAGTTGACAGTTAGTCAATGAACTTCTCCAATCAGCACCAGGCCCTGTTCTGGGGAGGAGGTGGATGGGACTTTCCCACTGGCCCTCACATCTGGCCCCTGGGGACTCCTAGTCTGGGCGGGGGGACAGACAGCAGTGGACACTCCCACAGTGTGGTACAGGCTGGGATGGGGGAAGTTCAGAGCTGAGGGATCCCAAGGAACCACTTCTCCCAGCCTGGGGATTCAAGGGGACCAAAGAGCTACCTGGGAGATGCTGCCTCCCAGATCACCCGGAAAGGGCATGCAGAGTACGTGGGCAAGTCAGCTCATGGGAGGGAGGGAGAGTACTTAGGGCACAGAGAGGCAGAGGGTTTTAGGAGCAGGTATGGTTAGGAAGAAGCAGGCTCCAGAGACATTTAGAAGGTCGAGTCTTGGTAGGACTTGATGATGTAATGGACCACTCATTTAGTATTTTTGGAGCATCTGCTAGGTTCCTAGCAGGGGAAGCGGGTACAAGAATGGTAGAGAACAGATGCTCCTAAACAGGGTCCTGCCTTTAAGGACTTTGTAGCCCTACCGATGGAGGAGCAAGGTTAATCCACTCACACTCCTCCCCAAAGTGTGCTTTTGGATATAAGTAAGAAGAGTCAGAACCACTGTCCTGGTGTCTAAGGTGGGGACCCAGAGCACGAAGGAGCAGGTCTGCAGGGTCTCAGGGCCCACAGAAAGGTTTGGCAGTTCAGAGGCCACGTGTTCATTCAGGGACAGACCTGGGAGTGTCTGTGTGCACGCGAACAATAAGGCCACAGCAGGTCATTCGGGAAGGAAGGCTGACTGAAGGCCAGACAGGCGCAGGGGCCTGGTGGCCACCAAAAGGCTGACCTGGGGCCAAGGCCCTGGGAGGGCCTGGAAATCGGGAGCCACAGCCGAGGCCCGCACCAGCAGCGTGTTCCGTAGGCGCTGCATGGTCAGCACTCGAAGGGCGGAGTCTATGGGTTTGGTGACAAGGTCCGTGGGCAGCCACACATCTTTCTTCTGGAAAGATGACATCAGGGCTGAGGCTGTGACACGGGCAGGCATTCCTAGATTGCACCGCATGGAAAGTGGCAGTGATATCATCTAGCGGGCGCGCTGACTCAGGGGCCCCAGAGGGACTGGGGGAGGATGGGGGGAGGGCAGGACAGTGATGGGGAGCGTGACTCCTCCACCTTGGCTCCCCTCTCTCAGGGCCAGGAGAAAGCCCTCTGGAAGGGCTTTTCTGTGAGTGTCCCCCACGGGCTCTAGAGGAAACGGGCTTGCGGCCACCCTGGGATCCTTATCATAAGGGGAAGGAAACGGGCCTCCAAGTGGCGTCGCATCCCGCGGGCCTTCTGCACGAACGCCTCAGCTGATGTCACCCTTCCTGAACCTGCTGCCCTTGGCGGGGACCCTAGTGCTGGTGGCCCACCCAGCCCACAGTCAGGATGACAGAGGCAGTATTCGAGCACATACCCATCTCTGCTCCCCGACACCTTCTCTGCCAGGGGTCAGGAAGCCAGGAAATGCTGGTCATCTGTCTGGACCAGCAGAGGGATATCCCCCTCAGTACAGCTGTAAAGGGAGACTTCTCCAGGTGTGGGCAGGGAAGCCGGAGTGGCCTGTGGCTGTCCTAGGGAAGCCCTGGGGAACAAAGGCAGACCTTCCTCAATAAAGCCTGCCACCCAGGGTTCTCCCTGTCTCAGGCCTGGGCAGCCCAAGGAAGTTCCTCCTCCCTGAGCCTCCACTTCCTCATCTGTGTAATGGGTTTAATTATCACTGCCTCATAGAGGAAACCGTTGCCTGTCCTAGGAAACTTTGTGGGGAATCCTCCCAGGGAGGAGGCAGAGCTTCAATCTTTCCTCTCCTCTCCACACCACTTTGGGAGGTGTCTGAAGCCCAGACTGGGCAGAGGACTCAGCCTTGCTGAGCATCTCAGGGACACCTGCCACTTGCCCGGCTCCAGCCTGATGTGGGTCTCATGGGTCCCTGCTTCACCCTTATGAGACCCCAAGGCAGGGATAGCACTATGGGTGGATCATCCTCTGAGAGGGGATCACTCGGCCACCCAAGACACACGCAGCAACATCTTTGGCCTCCATGCTAACAGCTCCAGACAGACCACTCCATCATCTCCTCTGTCTAGCCCCCAAGGGGTGCACCTCCAAAAGGCCAGGCCATCAGGCCAAACCCCAGGTCTGGTCCTGTTCACTGAGTGTTCCCAGACCCTGGTCTGGGAGTATCTGAGGGTGGTTAACTCCCAGCCATGTGTGGGCTCTGCGTCCATACAGCTAAGCCTCTAGGAAGGTCCGCGGCATGTGTCCCACCTCGCAGCCCGCTGCATTCAGAGCTCACATCCGGTGGTCACTTTAGGTAGGGGACAGGGAGAACAATGCCCCAACTCATATGGACAGTGTTAAGAGCACCAACCAAGATGTGCACCTAGAATGAACAGCCAGGAGCAGCGGGCAGGAAATGGGAGTGAACCGAGTGAAGAGCAAGCCCTGAGCGTGCCATCTGTGTGGGCCTGAGGCAGCAGGGGAGTAAGGCATCTCTGACAGTGAGGCCATCTGCTGTGAGGGTGGAGGCCCCTGGTGGCTGGGAGGGTAGGGAAGTCAGTCCAGACTGGACTGGATGCGTCAGTAGTGGGACATGAGCCGAGAGGTCTGGGACAGGTCAGGGCCCAGACATTTGGAAGTCACTGATGAACAGGAAGTTCCCAACACCAGAGGGCTGGACACAATTCAGGCCTTGGGTAGTG